TGCGGGGGGGAAAAGACATTGAGATAGGAACGAGCTGCCAGAACCCCAAACTCAAAAGCCGGGAATCTTAGGGCATCAATCTTAGCATCAATCTTAGCAAGAGGCAGGGCTGGTGAAAGGAATGCACAAAGGTAACAACCAAGAGCATCCGGCTCAAAGGAAGGGAAATATGGTAAGTGGAAATGTCTTTGTGAAGGAGGCGGCAGAGCTCAGAAGACAGCAAGGACTACACAGTTGGTGGCCTGGCTGAGAAAGTCATTCCAGGCAGGGGAAAAGGCATGAGGTGGAACAGTGGGAGAGAAATATTTAGGGAAGCATTTGATTTGGCAGAAGAGAGGCATGTTTGTCACCCAGTGACTGCTGAGACAACAGCAAAGCCCAGGCATGGAATTCTGCCCTGTAGAGGAAGCGGCTAGCTTATCTCAAAGAACCAGTTCTAAGTTCTACCCGTGTGACCTTGGGTGAGTGATTTCTGAGTCCCAGTTTCCACATCTGTAAAATGGAAGTGGTAAGTGACCATCTATGAAGTTGGGTCAGATGCTTAAAATGACTGTGTGTGGGGAAGGGCTTTGTAAGCCCAAAGGTATTCTGCCATGTCCCCTCACCCCCATATGACATCAGAATCACCAGAGGAGCTTATGGAAAAAATACAGCATGCCCCAGGCCAGCCCATATCTGCAGAATCAGAGTGTGCTTAGACAGGCATCTTTTTCTACCAATTATTCTTTTCTCTTATTTCTTCACATGGTCCTGGTGCTCTATTAACTTTAGATCTGCCAGCTTTTGATAGCTGGGGAGAAGAAAACAGAGTAAGAAAAATATTTGGGGATACCTGGAAGTTCAAAGAAATACATTGGATTTGGAGAGTTTCTGCTTGGGGTTTGACAACTAGGATAAGGGGAGAAAAAGAAAGGCATCTTCACTTTTCTAAAAGGTGAGAAATGAACAAGGCAGCCAAAGGGACTAATGGGCGAATTCTAAGAGGACCTCAACCAAACACCTTCAGTCACACTGAGGCTGGCCAGACAAAGTGGTCAAAAGTACTCAGCTCCCTACAGCTTGCAACACATCTTTATTAATCGATCTGTCCTTCTTATATCCCTGTGAGGTAGGACTTCTCATTTATCCCTATTTTACAGGTAGGGAAACTGAGGCTCAGGAGGAGCAACTGACCTACCCAAAGGCCATGGACAGGCCGAGGTAAAGCAATGATTTGCACTTTCAACTCTCAGCCTCCAGGGTTGCTCCACTCTGCCACATTGTGCAACTAGCAGAAGGCACACAGGTGCTCTATTTATCTAGCTCTGCAGAGAACATGCTGTGTAACCCTGAAAAAGATCTCTTGCCCTCTGGGCCTTACCACTGTCATTGTGGGTGGGGTAGGGATTTAATGATAGAGTGATCTTTTAGCAGTCTGTTTCTAGCGCAGTTCCTGGCCTGGCATATGACAATAGCCACAAGATTGGTAGAGAGGATGGTGAAAATGAGAATGCATATGTACAAAGGGTATGGCAACATTATAGAAGGAGGGACCAACTTTGCTAGGCAGAAGGTTTGTGGGGGCGTAATTTGACAGAGACTTGAAAAATGCAAAGGCATCACCCTCTTTCTTCTTCCTCCACCTAGTATCCATGGGACTAGAGGAGTAGGGCTTAGGATATGTAATATGAGGTGGCCAGAAATGAGGCTGAAGAGAGGGGTTGGGGCTGGGGTAGGGGGGCAGCACATATCCTAGGGGCCTTGAATACTAAGTCAAAGAGTTGGTTTTAAAAAAATTTTTGTTTATATATTTTTTGCATTGTTCTTCCTTTTTGTACTAGTGTTTAGGTTTTGCCATTGAAGGGCTTTAAGGCAGCAAATGTCAAGATGCATTTTGAAGATTTGCAGTTTAGAAAGATCCATTTTGCTGCCCTGGGGACAACAGACAGGAGAGGTGCCTGAAGGCAGAGAGAACTTTGACCTGAGGCACAGTGGGTCCAGCTAGCGTGTCCTTATCTAAAGCTCCTGTAGGTAATCTCCCAGTTAGGAAGATCAGGGGAAATGGTTAAAATGGAAGTGCTCAGACACTGAGGTCAGCCACTGGCCAAGGTGTGAAGAGCTGTTTCTGATGCTTATGTGAAGTGAGAGGCCCTTTAGAGAATCTGGCCCAGCTGGCTGGGCCCTGCACACAAAAAGAGTAGCAGGAGTTAGCATCCCTGAGTTTCCTGGAAGCTGAGTATTTGTCTGTTTCTCTGATGCTAACTGGGTTTGAGCCTCACACCACAAGCCCATGTCCAGGAGAGGAGGATGAAAGTCCCCAGGACAGGACCAAAGGAGATTCATTGGAAAGAGAGCCCTCCCCTACAGTAGGGGAGCTGGCTGATAGGATACCTGGGCCAAAGGATCAGAGCTCATTCTTGACTCAGCCTCCCAAGCCTGCTGGTTTTCCAGATTCTAAAGCAAACCCTGTGGGGAGATGTTTCAGAGTGCTAACACAACAACACAATGGTGCTTCCTTGTGGGCCACACTACTACATTACTAAGTTACCTCCTTGACTCCTCACAAAAGCCCTTTTTGCAGTTGTTAGGCAAGTTAGGTAACTGGCCTAACAAAGGTTATCCAGAGCCTGTAAGAGGTGGCAGAATTACCTAGGGAACCTGAACCCAGTACAAGGGAGGGGGGGAGAGGGTTCACCAAGTAAAACAGGGTAGAGGGTTCAGGAAGTAGGAAGACTTAATCTTCTGGAGAGCCCCAGGATGTAGAGACACTGATGCAGAGTTGAATCTCAGCAGCCAGTTTATGAAGCCCCACTGTGAAGAGGTGGCAGGAGGCAAAGGAGCCAGCGGCATGATTTCAAAGACTGTTTGAAAGAGCAGGTTGGACTCTGTTGACCCCTGCTGGTCTCCCAGTTCTGGCAGCTGGGTTTCTAATTGGGGAAGGAGGATGGGCTGAGAAAAAAGAGGGGAGTTCTTCCTGCTCCCCCACTGATAAGACGGATCAGGTCTTCTCCTTGCACCGCCTTAACTGGCAGGGTCCTCAGATCTCAGCCCAGGTGAGTTGTCAGGACCACCCAAGAACTTGGGGGAGTGGGGCTTGGAAGAAGATTCTGTTCTCTAGGCAGCAGATTTGATTTTGCTGCCCCGAGGACCAGAATAGTGACCTCTGCTTCCCCCTCCTTCCCCAGGCAGACAGGCAGGCAGACACATATACACAAGCCCAGGCAACTTTTTTTTTTTTAATTAAAATATTTAAAAAGTAATAAGAAGAGACGGAGCAAAAAGACTGGGTGTGCAAGTCTGGGCTACCACAGGGGGAACATTGCCCAATCTCTGTTCCCAGAGGGCCACTTTACAGCAGGAAGAAGTTCCTGGGAGGTCCAGGGTTCAAGATCAAAGTCTCCCTCAAGCAGCTGGCCAAATGCCTCTGAGATTCCCCAGGATTCCCCTCATCCTTCACAATGCCTGGATGTATAGAGGGGGAGTCAAATTCACCCCCCCTTCTAGGGAATGCATCCACCAGGCTATTCTCCCTTGCACCCCCATGTTCAAAAGTTTTCTGGATGCTTTCCTGCCCTTTTTACCATAAAGAGGGGTAGGAAAGGCTGGGCTGACTGGGGAGGCACAGACAAGCTGCTGCCTGGTCTCACAGTTTCTTGAAACTGAACCAGAAGTAGATGGTTCTTTCCAGAAAAAGTAAGTCTGATGCCTTCCCCCTCCTCTCCTGCCAGCTCTTCTGCCTGAACCCTCTCTCCTCTCTGCTGCTTCATCTTTCAACCAACCTTTCTCTGATTCAGATCCTTGGTCTTCCTCTTGCTGAGCTCTCTAGACCTTTCCCCGTTTTTTTAAAATGAGGGTAATGAATTCGATAAGAGGGAATAGCGTCTCTCTCTGTGTCACAGACACCCCCCCCCCCTGCCCCCAGATGTTCTGGACCGCGAGGCCATCTGCCGAGACTCTCGAGGAGGGGGCGGGGATCTGGGCTCCAGGAAGCTGGAGCGAGACCCACTGAAGAGGGCGTACTTTTGAGACGCTCCCTGGGGCGGGCCGCGAGCGCGCCAGGAAAGGCTGGCGCTTTGGCGACACTCCCTAGGCCGCGGGCCGCCCGCTGCAGCCGCCCCTGGGCGCGGGGTGGGCGGGGAGTGGGGGGGGCGCCCGGCGGCGGGCGGGGGCCGGGGGGCGGGCCGCGCGGCGGTGAGAAAAGCGCCGGCCCGAGGGCCCGGGCCGGGCCGCCTGGGTGGACGCGCAGAGGTGGCTGCGGTGCAGCTTCCAGGTGGGTGCGGGTCCCTCCTCGGGTGGAGCGGGAATCCGTGCTGCGGGCGGGGATCCGGAGCCCCGAACCCAACATTCTCATCCGGGTGGCGGGCGGCGCTGGACTCCGGGGCGGAGACGGAGCCCCTCAACTTTCTCGGACCCACGGTGTCCGCCGCGGGCGCCGGATGCCCGGGGCTCGGCCGGCCCGGGGAGCCCGCCCAGGGAGAGGCGCCCCCAAACAAAGGCTGCGCCGGGGCGGGGGGCGTGGGCCGGGGCCTCCGGGGTCTTTGTGTGGACACGTGCAGCTCGCGCTTGTGGGCTTTGGGGTTTGGGTCGTGGGACGGGCACATGCCCGCGCCTTTGTGTGCCCGTGGCCTCGCGTGGCCGCTGCGCGCGCGTGTCCCGCGCCGGGCGCCCCGTCTGTTTGTGGGTGTCCGCGCGCTCCGGCCGGTGTCCGCGTACGTGGTCCCTGCTGCCGACGTGTCGCCGGGTGTCCGTGGAGGGTGTGAGCGCAGAGAGCCGGACGCCGCCCCGGCGCCTCGCTCCCCCGCTGTCCACCCGGGCCCCCGACTTGGCTGCAAACTTTTCTCGCGGTTCCTCGGGCAACAGCCGGGGTTCTCCTCTCCGCCCCCTCCAGTGGCTGCCTGAGTTAGGGGGTGGGGGCGCTGACAGCCTCCCCGAGCTCCTCTCCCGCAGGCCTGAGGCTAGTGCGGGACGGGAGAGGGCTTGAGGGGTACGGGGTGGGGGTGGTAAGATCGGCAGCCCCTTGGGCCAGGGCTGGGCGGAGCGTGCTGGACACCCCAAATCGAGCAGGCTGGGAGGAGGGAAGTGGCCAGTCCTGGGCCCCTGCTGGGGGCTGGAGAGAGAAGAGAGCGCGGTAGGTGCTGCCCGCCCAGCTCTTTGGGAGAGAAGAGCTTATGTGACCGTGAGAGACGTGTCTGCTCAGCCGAGTGGCGGGCCCGGCCCCTGCCTCCGCTTGGAGATCCGTTCTCCGGGCCCCCAAGGCTTAGGGGGGTCCAGTCCCCAGATCCCATAGATGAGAAGACAATGACTTCTCCAGATCCTGGCCCCCAAACTGAGCTGCGGAGATAGAGCCCTTACTAGGGCTGGTTTCTAATGGTTTCTAGTGGGAAGAGCACTTGCCCACTGTGGACCGCTGGGCAGGTTGCTGGGCCTCTGGGAGTTGCAGTCACCCGGCTCTGGATGGGGTGAGAAGGCAGAGTGGGTGGTGGGGATAACCCGGGTTTGGAGCCTGAGCTGAGGGCTGGCCCTCCCACACTTGGCCTCAGCAAGAGGTGACTCAGGAACTTTTCCAATCCTTCCTTCTTGCCTACCCTAGCCTTCTGAGAAGTCCAGACTTGCAAAGCCCAAGACTGACCCATGAGGCAGGGCTGAGGCAGCAGGAGTCTGCTGGGCTTTTGATCCATATTTCCAGATAACCCTAACGTACCTCCTTTTCTTGCCCTCCGCCCAGGCTTTACCCTAGTACTTTGCTTCTCATCTGGAAAAGACGCCACCACAGGAACTCTCCTTTCCCTCTCCAGGCCTCAGTTTCCCTTCTGGAAAGGGAGGTGCTAGCAGTCTCTCCTCCCTCCTGTTTTGGCTGACTGGTTGGGCCCAGAACCTGGAAACACTTTGAGGTTTAACACACACCTCCATTCTGTCTTCACCGAATTCCCAGGCACTAATTTGCCCTTTTGAAGGAGGGGGGAGGGGAGAAGGTGGCTTTGAAGTTAGGGAGGGATGAAGGGAGATGGGCCTGGAGCCAATGCTACCCAGGAAGGGAAGGCTGGAATGCAGCCTTGGGGAACCAGAGTGAACATACCCCAGAGGCAGGAAGTGTCTTCTACTGTGGGATCTACTCTTGTGTTCTGATAATAGCTCAGAGATGGATAGCATTGTGAATTTTCAGATGCAGAGGAGTGGGGTGGAGGACTAGAATTCAACTTGAGACCCAGAGGGAAGGCAGGGACCCAATATGAGGGCCATGAATGCCAGATGTAAGAGCTGGGATTGGAACCTGTAGGCTGTGGAGAGCTGCTGGCCAGTTTAAGAAGGCATGACAGGATGTGATTGGTCATTCTGTGAAACCTTTCTCTGGCTTGTGGCTGGTGCTGAAGACTGGGAGACCAATCTATTTTTTTTTTTTAAAGATGTATTTATTTATTTATACAAGCACTGGGTACAGTCAGAAGCGCGGGAGGGTGAGAGAATTCACCAGAGCCAGAGCGGGGAGCAGAGCAGGCAGACTGACGAAGTACACTGCTGAGGGGAGCAGCGGGCGGCAGGAGAGGTCTCTGCGCCACGTGGGACCCTCACCTGGTGGCCAGGGATTGAACTGGCACTGCAGAGACTGCGGGCAGCTTCACAACCCAGCGCTCAACCGCTGAGCCACTAGGGAGGCCTTGGGAGACCAATCTAGAGGCCTAGTGGCTCCAGCCTGTTAGAATCAGAAAAACCTGGATTTCACTGCCTTTCCATTGCTTCCTAGTTCTGTGGGCTTGGGCAAGTAGCTTTACCTCTCTGCTTCTCAGTCTCCTTATCCTTCAAATGAGGATAGTGATTCCTGTCTCTCTCACTGATTTGTTGTGAACATTAAGCAGGATGACTTACATATGCAAACAGAATGAGAGTGGTTTGTCGTCTGTGTTATATACAGATATTTGTTGGATGGCACTGACAATAGAAGGCAGAGACAGCCTCTCTGGTGGTCCTAAACCTCATTTCCCCACATGGCAAAGTCCTAAGTATCCTGCAGACTTGAGCCAATTGAGCCAAAGCAGAGGGAAGCTTTTCTGTTTAGGACCTTTTACTCATCTGGTTTATCTCCTCTTCACATGGCTGGCCCCACAGCTTCCAACATGACCACAGGCCACAAAACATATTAATCCTTTACTGGGGCAGTCCAGGGACCATGGTCAGGGTGACCTTTTGCTGGATGAGGGGGGCAGGTTAGATTGAGAAACCTCACAGAGGAGGAGGCTTTTGAATTGAATGAGTGAGACAAGAGAAGGAAGGCATCTTTGTCACCTTGTCAGAGGGAGCAGCCTGTGAGGAGAGAGAGGCATCTCCAGACTAACAAGCTCTCCATAGAGGAGCAGGGGTGGGGTCCCAGCCTTCTGTTGGGAAGTGTGCTCAGGTGTCCAGCATAGCTGGCAGTTGGAGGCAGGGTTGCCAATAACCAGGCTGCTGGAGCAACCTGGACCAGGAGGACTCCTGAGCCCAATCTGAACAGGGTGATGCCACTGCTGGGCTTGAGGGGGGTTGAGGTGAAGACAGTACCCGTCTCTCATCCTGTCTTGCATAGAAAACTTCAGCCTTCTCTGGCCTCTGCAATCTTTCCAGTTCCCCTGAACCCATTCCCTATAAAGTCTGGTCAGTACTAGTAACCCCAGCTGGGCCTTGAATATGGGTATTGAGAGAGAGTTCTAGGCTTAGGGAATGCATTTGGATGCTTCTCTGCCTTTTTCTTTTCTGGCTCTGAGGTCACCCATTGTGTGTATGTGGGGGGCGGGGCGGGAGAAGGTGGCAGGAACCCACATGCAATGAGCAGCATTGCGCCAGGCGTGGGGATGTCTTCCTTTACTTTGGGAAACCATCCTGTGATGGGGTGCAGTGGGACTGTCACTATGCAGGGACCAAAACTGGGGTTTCGCCCTTGTTACAGATGAAGGCTTAGAGTCAGGAGTGAGAGCTCATGCAAGTTTATAGTCCGTTGAGGTTCTGTGGGCTTGGAGCCCAGTCAGCCTGGCTGCAAAGGCCATTTCCTCTGACCCAGACTGCCTCCCACTGTGTCCACTCTGCTGCCTCAGACTGACAAGGATTTGGACATCTTCTGGAAGAAGACACTGTAAAGAGAAAATAGTATTGGGAGCTTGCTCATTTCCTGTAGATTTTTTTCACTGGGTGAGGTTGCTTAGCGTCCAGGCCTTTCCAAGGATGACATCACAGGAGGCCAGGCAATAGGCGTCAGAATACCTGGATCCCCATCCAGCCCCTGTTCACACTGGTTGTGTGACTCTGGACTCTGCATGCAGCTGTTAGATAAATAACAGCATCTGACTTATTGATCCTGCAGAGTGACCGAACAGATGATCGTTGGTGAGGCATTGGAAAGGTCGAGAAATGTCCTTGTGTGAGGCGGTTGTACCCTAAGTGCCTGATATATCTTCCTCTAGAAATCTGTGCCAGGTCCAGTGCTCAGGTCCAAGGGCACAAAAATGAATCTAACTCCATCCTTGCCCACAGGAGGACAGACAGGTAAACCTGTGGCTGTAGTCCAGCCCCATCAGCTCTAGCGTGCCCATTTGTAAGTCGAGAAAGAGTGGTATAAGAAGCACCAGATATGGAGTTAAGGCATCTGGATTCCTGGTTCCTCTCACTACCTAACTGAATAACATCAGTCTCCCTGTCTGCAAAATAGCAGTCCCCACAGTCAAGAACTGTGGTGAGGCAGAAATGAGTTGCCGGTGCAGAAGTGCGTGGTTTGCTGATGTGTTTGTACAGATGTGCGGCATTAGTGATCCTGTTGGAAGAGCTGGCCCTCAAGGCTCTGGGAGTTTGGCCCTGAAATTCTTTCTGCCTTGCGTTTCCAGAGCTGACTAAGTGGCTGTGAAGCAGGACGTTAATGGAATTCCCACCTGGGGATTTCTCTGGCGTCAGGGATGGTGAGCTCATGATAGAGGGGAGCAGGGTAGGAGGCAGCTCCATGTTGAGGAGCAGCTGGTGGAGGCAAAGGCCTGTTTCAGGTGAGGCCCTGGTCTAGGCCAATGCTCAGTACCCTGTCCATTTTGTTCCTGTGCCAGGGGCTCCCTCTGGAAGTTGTGATGACAAGCCGGCAAGTTCTATGGGCCTGAGATGCAGTGCTGTGGCACGATGGGCCAGCAACATGGACCATGAGGTCCTGAGCTAGACCACCTAATCCCAGACAGGTCCTCTCAGAAGAGGGAGACTGGGGTCCTAGCAGCGGATGCCAGCACAGTGACTAGAGACGGCACAGGCAGTTACAGACCAGCCAGGGGCTCCCGCTGCACTGGGTACTAAGGTTGGAAGAAACAGACAGAAAAGTAACATGATCACGGCCTTCAGGAAGCTTAATAAATGATCGCTGTCATTGTCTCCCAGACAGGTGCCAGATACTAGACTGAATGCTTCACTTGCGATCACGAAAAATGCTTTCTCCAGCTCTGTGTCGTCCCTGTTGAGGACCCAGAGAGTGAGCAAATTTGAGACTTACCTGAGGCCAGTAGGCAGTGAGCTGAATTCACAGCTGGGGTCTGAATCCAGGGGTGGACTCCTAACCGCTGGACTCTGTCCTTCCAGCTGTTTCTGCCACACTCACTCCTGTCTGGTGGGGAGAGGGATGAACAGTGAAGAAGGCAGGGTCACTGCCCCAAACTGCTGACACTTCCTGTCAGGAAATAAAGCAGGCAAATAAAGACAGAATTTACTCAGTTTTCATCTGAAGGATCTTGCAGCAAGAGGAGCCTGGGAGGAAATAAGGGAGGGAGGGAGGGAAAGGTAGCCTGCAGCCTGGATGGACAGGCAAGCTTTGTTCTGCCGGCAGGGCCAGGGCAGGATGGGTGGGTGAGGGCTGGACTGCTCTCTGTGTGCGGCATCTGGACCCAGGTCCTGGGTCCTGCACTGCCATTTCCTTGCTGTCACCGCTCCTCTCTGGGCCTTGCTGCCTGAGAGGGCGTGGCGATGAGACAGAAGACAAGGGGCCTTCTCGCTCACAGCCCAGGACTTCTCTGAGTTTGAGGAATGGTGAGTGGAGACTGAGCGTTGTTCAGAGATTGTCACTGTGGGCTCAAATCAAGATGGCGATCTCAGCCGGGCAAGGGAAGAGGTGGGGGCAACTTCCAGATGCCTCCATGTTAAGGAGAGGGAGAACTTGATTTCATTTTGGAGAAGGGGAGTGATGTGGCCAAGGCTGTTTGAGAGGCTCTCCTGGCAGGGTCTGAGGTGTCTCGGTGGGGAGACTGCCCGAAATCCTGCCCGAAATCCTGCTAGGGCCACATCATTTACTCTTTTGACCTCCCAGGTCATCAGCAAATTTCCCTTGGAGTCACTGTGGGCTCAACAATGAATAATTCACAGCCGCTGTCCCACGGGTCCTTATACCCTGTCCCCCAAACCAGGAGTAGGGGCAGTGTCTAGGCCCTTTCCTCCCACCCTGTGGCTATAACCTGGCTGATCAGTGGGCATTTTTTATCTGCAGGTTGGGGATGAAAAAAGAAGTGATAAGTCTTCAGCCAAAGAGTCCTTTTTACCCCTGGCCGCCTATGGTAGCCACCTGTCTGCCTTTCTCTTTCTCCTGAGGGGAGAGCACAGGTCCCAGGTTAAACATGTTCCTACTGCTACACCAGTGAGAAAACCAAGGCTCAAAGAAATGAAGAAAACTGCAAAGGCCCCACAGATCGTGGCAGATCTGGAACTGGAATCCTGGTTGCCTACCCTAAGGCCAGTGTTAGTGATCTTGTTATCAGTTGGTCCTCTGTCCCCGCGGCTGGTCTGTTAGCCTACCCTCCACCTTCCCGTGAACACAGGGGCCCGGGCACCCCCCAGCCCACACAGGCCTCACCTGGCCTAGTATGTAGAGATTTAGGAACAGCTTTGTTGAACTTTGAAATCCTGAAACACTAGAACTGGATTAGCTAGACTAAACCCCTTATTGTGAAACTGGAGAAATTGAAGTGCAGAGAGGGGAGGGGACTGTCAGAAGATGTGAATAATCATCTGGAGCAGGGACTAAGACTTGAGCTGTTTGTCCTCTGGGGCCATTCCCTTAATCGTGCCCTGTTGCCCTGAAGGAGATGAGGGGGGTCCTTCAGTGCTCTCTTGAGGGGCCTCCTTCCACTGTGGAGCCCAGGAGAGACACAAGCACCCATGAGTGTGCATCTGTCAGTGTCCTGGTGCCTGTGATCTCTTGTCCTCACAGCAGCCTTTCTGAGGAAGGGATTGATATCTCCATTTCAGGTGAGGAAATAAGCTAAGAAAGAGGATGTCACTTTCCAAAGTCAACCAGTTTATCAGGTGACTCCTGTTCCCTGGCATTCCTTCATCATGATGGCCAATTCTGATCAGTAGGGAGGGACTTCCCAGAGATCCTGTGTAGATTCCCCAGGCAGTGATGTAGTGTTCAATTAATTGTGTTTGCGATGGAGATTTATGTATGCAATGGGCATAGCTCAAATGAAAAGGCACCTGCGTCTTGGGGTCTCTTTTCTCTACAGTGTTCTTTTTCTCAGTCTACTCTTCACACCCATTCTCTCTGAGCCTGACTAGACCAGCATTGCTCCCCCAGATCACAGCTGAAGTCCAGGGAGATATCGCGAGCTGCCTGGATTTCACTGCCAGTTGGTGTCCAACCTTCCAGCTCTCTGAAGGCCTTTCCTCTACCACTAAGTTAAGGCTGTTGGTTTTTGTCAAGAGAAACTCATGTCACTCATCCTTCCCTGGTTCCAGCACCCTACTAGGAAACAGTGTCTGGGAGGTGCTGAACCTTTGATACACGTTTGTTCAAGAAGGAAAAAGAGAGATAGTGTTGGGGTGAGGCCCACCCATTGACCCCCACCTTACTGCTCCTTGTCTCTGCAGGAAGGCAGGGCAGCCCACACTGCTCCCCACCCCTGCTAGGTGCCTTACTTCTACCACTTTGCCTCATCTCCATGGCAGTCCTGCGAAGTAGCTACTAAAAACTCCATTTTACAGATGAGAGGACTGAGGTTCAGAGACTGTGGCTAGCCAGACCAGAGAAACCAGACATAGCCAGGAGGCCATCCTGCTAGGAGACTTTGTCACTCGATGTGTTTTCTATATTTCTTACTAAAAGAGAGGAAATTAGGGGGGCAGGGGATAAAGACATATTTAAGTCACACAAAGTTCTACCACTAGAGAAAAACCACGGTTGTGTTGGTTTTTCTGAGATTTTTCTAAAATTAGGATTTGGGCAGGCTTTTTATTTTTTAATGCATAGCTATAATTTTCTTAGACATGTCATTTTCTCTGATAAGGTCACTTGGCATTATGACGTCGGCCCCTCCATGAGGTTGCAAACTCTTCTGAACATGGTTTTTGATGCTGTAAGATCCCTCGCAGAGCTCGACAGCCATCTTGAGAGGGCCAGGAAGCCGGGTCCGGGAGTCAGGAAGCCAGAGCTTGAGCATCACCCCAGCCAGCCCCGCCCTGGGGGCCGAGGACAAGTCACTACACAGTCTCTGGGCTGTAGCTTCCTCAGTGCTAAAGCCGGGGACTGCACACCCTGCTCTGCAGCCTGACACTCAGAGCATCGAATGAACAAAAGCCTTTTGTAACTATAAGGCCTGTGCCTGCCACAGGACTTTTCTTAAGCTTCCCTCAGCTTCCTTCTGGAAATGGTCTGCTCCCTGGACTCCTGAGCCCTTTTGCTGAGGGCCCTGGGGTAGTAGCCCAGCTTCTCTGGGGCTCTCACACAATGGCCTTGGAGAGCAGTCCCCTTCCTGTTAGGATGCCAAAAGGAGCATTGCCTCAGGGACATTGACTCTCAAAGACCATTAGCCACACTCCCATCCTTGCCCACTTCTGGGTCCAAAGTTGGGAGGTTGCTTCCACATTTTTCCTCTTTCTTCCAACAGCCTGACAACACCCCTGAGCGGTCTCTGGGCTCTGCTGTCACTTCAGGAAACCCCTGGAGCCTCTGAATATGAAATAGCTCCACATCACCTCCTCACAGCCAGTCCCTGGCTGCTGGGACTTGACCCAAGGGCTCTGGGCATTGAGCTGTGTTTTCCCAGCCACCTGTAGGAGTATGTGTTCCCACTTAAGCCCGGAGTTCAGTTCCTGGCTCTGCCACCTTTCCTTCCGAGGCCTCAGTTTCCTCCACTTCAATATGGGCCTAAGACTGCCATGGAGTGACTGAATGAACAGGTGTCCAGCACCCGCACAGGGTGAGGACTGGCTAGGTGTCACCGTCATCACTCTCCACTGCTAACATCTAGGCCTGGCACGGAGCAGGGGCCTGGGCAGGTGTGCCCTGTGGAGGACTGCGCAAGGACTGTGTCCAGGGTGCCTTGGGGCATCACAAGCATGGAACCAGGTGGGCCTCCACCATTGCTTCTGCTCCCTTTACATCAGCTTTCACTAGTGCCACTCAGTCTCACAGTTACAGCTGCGTGATGACCACCCCGCGCCTGCACAGCTCTCCCCAGTTTGCGTTGCACTTCAGTAAAAGTTGAATGTGGGTGAGGAAGGCAGGGTGGAAATTACTGCCTGTGAGACAGAGAACAGGGCTGAGGCCTGGAGATGGGCACCTCTCAGACTGTGGTTATATAAGCAGGAGCTCGTGAGGGGCCGTTTGACATTTAATAGGCACGTTGTATAATCACCTCTGGGAGCCAAAGGGTAATCTGGGAGACTGTGTGTGTGTACAGTGTTTGTGTAAACCCCAGGAAGGGTGGGTATGAGATCGGCTTAGTGAGAAAGGTGCTGCCTGGCCCGGTAGTAGTAATGAGCCCTTGCTGTGAGGCGCTCACCCAGGGAAACAAAAGAGGCCTGAAGCAACTTAATATTTTCCTTCTGCTTCCAGACGTTGAGCTCTCTGACCCGCCTCAGTTGGGACCAAGCCCAGGATGCACCTGGGCTGGGTTTAATCCTCAAATTGGATGCTACAAAAGAAAGGGGTGGGGAAGGAGGGGCCCAAATAGGGGTGTGAGGGAGGAGAGCCCCCCTTCTCCCTGCCCCTGGGCAGAGCCAGCGTGCAGATCAAGTGGCTACCCCTTTAAAGTTTCATGTAGGCCTGGTAATGCGAGCCTGCTGCTCCCCCCACCCCACCAGAAGGTGGGCAGGTTGGGTCTGCCCCATCCTCTCCCCATCCCCTTCCCAAAGGACTGGGCTGGCTGGGTGGAGGATAAGTGGCAGGGGTGTGGACCAGTGCCACCCCAAATAAGAGACCTGGGGTGAGGCTTGGTGCCTTCTGTCTTCCTGGCAGTGGCTGCTGTGCTGGGGGTGGGGTAACTACAGTTTGAAGCGTTCACTGCTCAACCCTCTCTTATCCTGCAAGCATCAGGGAGCACCACTGTCCAAGGAGCTCCAGTGGGCTTGAACACAGACTTCAGGTCAGACAGATGTTCATGGGCTTTGAGGATTGAATGTGACAATGTGCAGGTATGTGGTAGCTGGCATCTGTGGCAGCTACTGTTATAATTGTACAGAGAGGGAAACCGAGGCCCAGAGTGAGGAAGTGGTTTGCATCATGGCATGTGTGAAAAAAAACCCCTCTTGGACCCTGCCTGTCTCTCCACCCACTGTCCTGCCAGTATAGCTGGATGCAGCAGATGGAAAAGAGGAATTGGAATTGAGCAGGCCTGGGTTCTAATCCTGACCCGTTTTTTTACTAGTTTGGAGTGAGACCATTTAAAACCTCTCTGGGCCTCTGTGTCTTCCTCTGTATAATGGGGGGACCAGAAACCAGCTCAGCCCTAGGTGAAAGGAAAAGCCAGACAGGTATAATGGCTATGTCAGCCAGGGGTGGGGGCATGGCAGAGAGAAAGCAGCTTGGGACATGTGTCTTCAGTGCCCACGTGGAAGTCTAGGAATGAAGGATCAGCCCCTGGAGGACAGACCCTGTCAGGGGACTTAGGACTGTGGACCCAGCCAATGTCAGCCAGACCAGGGGCCGTCACTGCAGTGCCCATGAGGAAGAGAGCCTCCTTCAGGGAGACTGGAGTATGGGTGTCAGGCCTGGCCCAGCCTGAGACCCATACTGAGAACTAGCTCCTCCTCTGTATCCCCCTGAGTTCCGCTGCCACTCAGCTGTGTGACTGTGCAGAGCTCGCTGAACTTCTCTAAATCTCAGTTCCCTCTTCCTGAAGTGGAGACAGAAATCACTGACTTGCAGTGTGGTTGTGAAGGTTCAAGGCGGTCATGAGTGGGGCGGTTAGCCCAGCACAGGCTCGGCCGAGGGAAGGGAGCACCCTAACTCTGACCCTGAGCTGCAGTCTGGCCTTGGTAGGGCCTGGGTAGAGACCAGCCGTGGACTCAGGCTTAGGTTTTGGAGAGGTCAGTGGAAGAAACTGTCTAGTTCAAGGACTTTTCAGCTGGGTTCCTCCATATTTTACAGCAAAGAGGGTGGGCAGACGCTCAAGGTTCCAGGTCCCACTCTCACTTCAGGCAGAACAGGCCTGCTTCCATCTGCTAATCTTATTTAGAAAGGGTTCTGTTGCTTCCAGTTTAAAATCCACCTTGACCTAAGTGAGTTACCATACAGAGGGGAGAAAGTGAAGCCGGAGAGGACCAGGGACTAGAAGTTATATGAAGAGACATTCAGGAAAACATCCTGGGAGGACTGGGGGGAATCGGTGGCAACTTTCAGCTGTGTTCAGCTTTCCTGGCTGGTGTCTTATGGGGTGGGGTTGGGGCCATCTGGTTCGGGGTGCCTGCCATCAGCCCTCATCTGTGGCTCTCCTTTCAGCCCCCACCATGCCGTGGCCCCTGCTGCTGCCCCAGCTGCTGCTGCTCGCTGTGAGTGGGGCCCAGACGACCCGGCCATGCTTTCCAGGATGCCAGTGTGAGGTGGAGACCTTCGGCCTCTTCGACAGCTTCAGCCTGACGCGAGTGGATTGCAGTGGGCTGGGCCCCCACATTGTGCCTGTGCCCATCCCCCTGGACACAGCCCACCTGGACCTCTCCTCCAACCGGCTGGAGACGGTGAATGAGTCGGTGTTGGCTGGGCCAGGCTATACCACGCTGGCTGGCCTGGATCTCAGCCACAACCTGCTCACCAGCATCTCACCCACGGCCTTCTCCCGCCTTCGCTACCTGGAGTCACTCGATCTCAGCCACAATGGCCTGGCAGCCCTGCCAGCCGACAGCTTCACCAGCTCACCCTTGAGTGATGTGAACCTTAGCCACAACCGGCTCCATGAGGTCTCCATGTCTGCCTTCACTACCCACAGCCAGGGCAGGGCGCTGCACGTGGACCTCTCCCACAACCTCATCCACCGCCTCCTGCGCCACCCTGGGCAGGCCAACCTGCCCACGCCCACCATTCAGAGCCTGAACCTGGCCTGGAACCGGCTCCGCGCCGTGCCCAACCTTCGAGACTTACCCCTGCGCTACCTGAGCCTGGATGGGAACCCGCTGACTGCCATAGGCCCAGGTGCCTTTACAGGGCTGACTGGCCTCATGCACCTGTCACTGGGCAGCCTGCAGGGTCACCCCCAGCTGGAACCCTATGGCTTCCATGAGCTGCAAGGCCTGCAGGTCTTGGACTTGTCAGGCAACCCCAAGCTCAAGTGGGCAGGTGCTGAGGTCTTTTCGGGCCTGGACTCCCTACAGGAGCTGGACCTGTCGGGCACTGGCATGGTGCCTCTTCCTGAGATGCTGCTCCCTCACCTCCCGGCGCTGCAGAGCATCAGCATGGGCCAGGGGGTGTGGTGCCGGCGCCTGGTGCGGGAGGGCACTTATCCCCGGCAGCCTGGCTCCAGCCCCAAGGTGGCCCTGCACTGCATAGACACCCAGGAATCTGCTGCCAGAGGTCCCAACACCTTGTGACGAATGGCATGGCCTGGGGCCATACATTAGACTGCCTCCCTGGGTGTCCTTGGGTCCTGGATAATTTATATTTAATGTGCCAATGCCAATTTGGACTCTGCTGGCCTATGTGGTGGCATCATCACCAGAGCTGTGGACCAGAGCTGTGGACCTGGGAAGAGGCTTTAGACCTGGGACCCACACCCAGGAGCAAAGTTTTGCCACTTTGTCTATGTTGCCCCCCCAAACCATAAGCAGAGGGTCCTCGATGCCAAACCAGAAAGAAGTCCCCTGCTGTCCTTCCCTACTTGTCCCCAAAGTGCCTTCCCTCAAGCCTGGGCCAACCTGCAGAAGGAGGCCCTGCAGGAGGTTCTGCTGCAGGGCAGAGGTCAGGTCCATGGCCGAGTGTCCCAGTGGGCCCATGGTCCAGTCACTCAGGGGCATGATTTCTGTTAATGACATAGCCTGCTCTTTGCTCTGGGCACATGAGGCCTGCTTCATCCTTGCCTCTTCCTGTAGAGCCCTAGGTAGACCTTTAGTTATAGGAAAGACTGGAGAGAAAAAAGTCCGCCTCCTCATGTGACAGATGGGGAAACTGAGACCTAGAGAAGGAAAAGTGATAATCTGAGGTACTGCAGCTGTGACTAGACAGCATCCTGCCACCCAGCTGGGGCCCTTGTGCTTTTCTGTCTTTTCCAAATCATGCCCTTCCTCTCCCCTTTCTGGGCTCCCCACATTCTACTGTTTGTACCCTACAGCAGTGGGAGCAGGACAGGCAAGGGCCTAGGACATGGCACTCTGGTCTGGGTGGCTTAAGTTGAGTTTACCAGCTGTCAGAGCCTCTGGAAGCTTCAGGCTTCGACTCTCAATTTGGCCTGTTTCCCATTCTGGGGTGGGATCCTCTGGCAAAACTGGAAATGCACCCATGACCCCTGAGGTACTGCTTCTAGGTGCTCCCTTAAGGAGCCGATGTGGTCCTGGAACCCCACTGGCACGAGTCCTGGTTTCGGCCCCCTTGGTCCCTGAGCCCAAGAGGGCCCGCAGCACATCTCACCCGGCTGAGAATACAGCGGAAGGAGGCAGGGCACCCCACAAACCAGGTTTGTGCTCTACCCTCACAGCTGCATCTCCACTTTCCAGCCCTGAGCTCTTTCCTTAGTCTTCATTTTGTAAAAGTTGTTGCCTTTTTAATAGACTGTCACTTTCAACCAACACCCCTCCCCTGCTGGCAAGGGATGGAAACATGTCATTTGTAAATAAAGAAAAGGTTGCATTTGTTCACTTTTGTCATGCTGTGTCCTGGGATGTGTGGGGCGAGGAGGTGCTGGGAGGAAGCCAGCTAGCAGCGGTCACGCGGGCATGAGGGGCTGGTCCACAGAGACACCCACGGGACAATGAGAGCTCTGTCCTCCCCCACCACTCCACCCACCATTTAACCGTCCCTGATTTAATAAATACTATACAGAGTCCCTCTTTCTATCATTTGATCAGACTCCACCAACATTCCCTGGATGGGGCCCTGGGGCCACATGGACAAACCCCGACAAGCTCTGCCTTGGGCAAATGTGCTCCCAGTGACCTAGTTTTGGGGGAGAAGCCCAGTGACCTAGTTTTGAGGGAGTGAGGGGACAGGAGTTGTTCGTGTTATTTGATGCAGCTTGCACCCTGTCCACCTTCATCATCTCCCCTCTTCCTGCCCTTCCAACTCCATGAACTGGTCAGGCCCTTGCACATCTCCACCTTTGCTCAGGCTGTCACTCTGGGCTCTTGCCCTTCCTCCCGTCCCTGCCTCAACTCAGAACCCAGGACATTCAACCCACAGGTATGGGTGGGAGCTTGCCCATCTTGCCACCAGCTCCCCCAACACTATCACCACCTGGGCTGTTACCCATGGGTGACTATGGAATGGGGCTGAGGCATGGGAAGAGGGTGTCAAGGTGAGACTCCAGCCCTTACAGTCCACAGCTGGTTCTCCACCCCTCCATTCCCTGGGAGGAGAGGCTTCAGATGCTGGGGTGGTGGAGAGAGAGCTGGGAATTTCACCAGGCAAGGCTGGGCCCTCCCAAAGCCCCACTTGAAGAAGGAGCCCTTGGGGAAGGAGCATGGCATCATAAACATAGGGACAAAGCAGTGATAGAGACAGGGGAGGGCAGGCCAGGGCTCCAGCAGGAAAGCACTGAGCTCTGAGGCAGGGCCCAGCAGCTTGCACATCTGCCAAGGGACAGGAGTAAAGCTCCAGCAGGACTGGCCAGGACCAGCCACTCTATGCAGGCGCCCCCTTCCTTTGGGGCACTACCCCACAGGCCCCACTCAACCGGCCTCCAGCATCCCTTGGGGAGAGCAGAAGCACCACGGGGCAGCGGCACGGAAAGCCAGGGGTGAGGGCAGGGGCGTGGTGGGCCTCCTAGGGCCCCTCTGGTCAGATGAGCAGGCGCCCAGCTCGCAGCGCCACCTCGTGGTCACACATGGCTAGACGCGCAATTCCTTTTTTGCCTGGCCAGATGGCCTTGGCGCTGCCTGCCGCCCACTCTGCCCTGCTGAACTCCCTGGGCCGAGAACAGGGCACTAGAATCTCACAAGATTATAGAAAACAGTGCAGTGGTTCTGTTTTATAGTTTACGGAAAAGAGTTAAAATCCTAGCTCCATCACGAACCAGATGTACGACTCTGATCAAGTCACTTTAAAGTCTTAGAGCCTGGAAAATTGGCTTGAAGATGTGTCCACCGCAGGATTGTGTGGAGTAAGTGAAGTAGCATTTGAAAAGAATCAAGTACAGTGCTTGGCACAAAATAAACTCCAAAAATGCTTGCTCCGTCCGTCATTCCATAGAACAAATAGAATTAGGAGATAGATTTCAGAACCATGTCATCTTAGATTCATTCTGATCACTGGCTTGAAACTGAAGACTTTTGTAAAGGATGAAGGTTGTAGAATGGCCCACATACTGGAAGCCACAGGAATTTTGCTCTGTGTGCCTAACATGGGCTGGGCCTTCATGTCCCTTCAGTTGTATTTCAAGGGTAGGGCGACAGCTCAGGCACTTTGCCATGAGGGCCCTGTCCGGGTCACAAACATTTCCATGCATCTCATGTGGTTTACTGGGCACATGTTTCTTGGACTTCGCACGTTTTCATTTCCTCCCACAATCACTGCCCAGGTACTGTCACTTTCCAGAGGATAAACAGCCTGGGCCTGGCTTTCTCTCTCAGACGTCAGCCCCTCATTCTTGCTGGTCCTGTGTCAGCGGCCTGCGCCAGCCATGCCTGTGTCACGGAGGGCAGAGGCTCTCTGAGAAACCAAAAGTCACTGGGTTCCTTCTAATTTTCTGTTGAAAATAAATTAGGGACGTTATACAGCTCTAAATATTTTTAAATAGACCGCTAATGACAGTCAAAGATCAAAGTCAAAAGTCCTTCCTCTCCTGCCCCCAGTTCACGGATGGGTACACCTGGCCCAGGGAGGAGGAACTCAAGGTCACATGGCAGGTGGGCAGGAGTTTGTGCTTCAGAACTGCCTTCATTATCTCTGGGACCTCTATAAAGTGAAAATGCTGGGCCTCTACTTAAAAAATCATGAACAGTTTCAAGATGTCAAGAGTAGAGTGTTGAATCAAGTGCAGGGCCCTCCAAAGATCCCACAGCCCAAAAAGCAGAGACTTGGTGTATCTGTGTGGATGCGTTACCCAATCCCTCTGTGGTTCAGAGAGTTGATTAGACTCCTTCTAACCCAGGAATTCCCTCCCAAGGGTGTTAACACACCACTTTCTCATTTCCCTTCCCTGCCATGAACAAAGAATATTCAGAAATAGAAAGGGCAGATAGAGCTATGGGTACTACCACCCTTCAATTGCCTTCAAGGATGTTTCACTGGACAAGACTGCCAGGCTACCTAACATTCACCAAGGAAACAGAGTTCATAAGCTAATAGGGTCTTGCCTATCAATACTTAGTGTTCCATTTTGGCTAATGTTCACCAGGCAACTAATTGCATTTATTTCTTTGTGCATCAATTCCTAGTATTAATTTACAACTCAACATCTGGCATAGCAAATGGCCCTCCAGTTAAGTCACATGCTCTGTGTTTATTCTTTTATTCATTTACGCACCAATGTTTATTTTTATGGGGATTACTGTGTTTGTTGCTCTGACCAGAAAATTCTTCCTGTGTTTACTGTTTAATCCCAAAGTTATTTATTATTTTATTCTGGATAACAATTAGATAGTCAAAATACTCTTAGGAATACACCATGCATTTATGTTTCTTGATAAATGCACCTATGTATATATAATGTGTATATATAATTATATACATGATACAAGAAGACAGAAAAAAAGACACTGGCATTAGGCATCCTATTCAGACAGAGGAAAAGGAATAATATTGTGGCTAAAAAAAATCAAGTTACCTAACAACCTAAATGCCCCAAAACAGATGACTGGATCAAGAAGATGTGGTATATATACACAATGGAATATTACTCAGCAATCAAAGCAGATAAACTCATGCGATTTGCAGCAATATGGATGGAGCTGGAAGGGATTGTGCTAAGCGAAATAAGTCAGAAGGAAAAAGATAAATATCAGATGGTCTCACTTATATGCAGAATATAAGGAAATTGAACCAGGGTCAGGAAAAGCCAAAATTGCAATCCGACCATAGATCTGAGGCATACAACACAGCACGAGGAGCGAGAGGGGTCAAAACAGGCAAGGAAGAGCATAAGGGATTATGGTGATGGATCATGGGTGCTGTGGTCGTGGGGGTGGGGAACTACAGGGAATGCACCTGAAGGGAGAAATCAAATACTGTCCAAAAATTAGCAATGATGTAAGAAAATAAATATTTTAAAAAAATTTGTTTTTAAAATTCAAATAAAGCCCCAACCAAATTCCCTAAAACTAAGGGAATTTGCAAGGGCTTCTTGAGGCAGAATAATTTGTGGCTAAGGTGCAGGTTCCAAAGAGAGGCTGGCAGTGCTCAGAACCAGGTTCTGCTGCATATAGTTCTGTGGTCTGGGGTAAGCAACTCAACCTCTTTTGGAGCCTCAGTTTCCACATCTGTAAAATGGAGATGGTAGCTACCTCCCAGAGTAGTTGAGGAGAATAAATAAGTTAGTGTGCATCAAACACTTCAAGCCTGGCAAATATAAGCTGCCTCTGGAAGGCGTGGGGGAGGAGGCAATGGCTGCTTTTCCCTCATAGCCACCAGCCTGATTATTGCTCATTTAGCTGACCTGTGTCAGCATCTTTACCACCTCTGCGGGGAAGCACCTCTGAAGAGCTTCCCCAACCCTTCCCAGGCAAGGTTAGATGTTCCTCCTCTGTGATCCTGCAGTACCTCCTCTTCCCTCTAGAATGACATTCATCACATTGATTTCCTGTATATTTTTTCAGCTTCCTCTCTACACTGAGGGAAGGGGCTGTGGTTACCTTGCTTCCCAAAAGGTCCCTAGCACCGAGGCTGGTGCACATACTTGGTTATCAATACACATCTGATAAATGAGTGAAATGGGTCTATTACACCCATTATATTGATGGTTAAATGAAGGTTGAGTGATCAAGTGACTTTCCCTACGCTGCATAGCAAGTTCATGGAGAAACCAGCTCTTGAGACTTCCAGTGTTAGCTTCAACCCCTCCACAATAGGACATTTCTTGCCCGACTCCCCTTCTATCCATCAGGTGGCAGGTATGAGTACCAACAGGCCTGAAGCTGGGGGAGTAGGTTGGGGCGGGAAGTCCATGTGCTTCCACTCTCCAGCTCCTTGGCAGGGACCCACCTCTGCTGTGACCTCCTCCCTTCTGCTCCACGCCTCACCCGCCCCAACAGCAGCCCCACTGGCTACGGAGGGGTGACCCACCTCTCTGAGCCTGTGTCCCCAGCTGTAAGAGGAGTCAGCCTAGGTGAGTCTAAGGCACCTTCCAACTGAGGTCTGAGAAGGACTGGCGGGCCAGATCCATGCCGCCTGCAGCACAACACAAAACACAGAAGCAGCAGGAAGCCAGAGAAATCTCATTTTTTTCAAATGTACCAGACTTTGACTTCCATGTTACAAAATTTTTAACTTTCAGTATTGTGTGTGTGCACATGCAAACACAAGTGTATGTATGTAGGAATTTTCAAATCAGAAAAAACATCCAGATGATTCTACTCATAATCAGGTTTGGGCAACACGTTGGCGTTTACACAGATCTTAGGTTTTGCAGCCACACTTCATTTGCTCACAGTCTCTTGTCAGGAGACAAGGCAGGAATAGTAGCGAGCCCATTTCACACATGGGAAAACTGAGGCCCAGAGAGTAGATGGCAGAACCCTGGGGCTTGTTCTCAGAG